CTGACATAAAACTAGCCAGCACAGTGTCATACATGGCATAAATCTGTCATATAGCTGGGAATGGAAGACCTGGCTGGGAAAACTTCATCTCTAGAGTTTGATTTGATGTGAGAATCCCAGAAAAGAAAATGTCACTGCATTTAGTATTAGTTTGTGACACTCAGCAAAGAACTAGAAGGCTCACAAGTATGATTCCTCTCAGCTCCTGAATACAGTTACAGCAGGGTGGGGATAGAAACACAGGAGAAAGAATAAAAATGCTCTTAGACCTCTAATGCCAGCTACCTGGAAAACAGGCAGGAGGAACCCAGGAGTTCAAAGCTAGCCTGGAGAACAAATGGAAAATGACAAACACCCTAAAGAAATAATTTGATTTCCCCACATAATGCCCCTTGTGACTTTTTCCAGTGTGAGTTCAATTTTCATTCATGTAGGAATCATGTAGGATGCCAAACACTAGTCTGAAATGCCCTACTGTCCCTGTCAGCATCTCTGCAATGATCTTCAACAGCACCCCACACCAACCTAAACCCTAACTCTTCATTCTCATCAGCTCACATCTTCAGGTTTAGTGACTTCAGTTTCCACATTACTGTGATTGCAATATTAGATGCTGTAAGCCAGGCAGGGTGGCACACACCTGCAATCTCTGTACTTTGGAAGTGGAAGCATGAAGATCAGGAGTTCAAGACGAGCCTCAGCCACATAGCAAATTTGAGGCCAGCCTGAGCTGCTTGAGACCTTTTCCAAAAAAAACGCTCAAAGTTACTAAGTTTTTGTTGGTTTTGTTTTGTTTGAGAAAGGAATATCATGTAACCCAGACTGAATTCCCCATCCTCCTGGTTCCACCTCTCAAGTCCTGGCATTATAGGTTTCTACCACTGTATCTGGCAAGTTATTAGTTTTTAAAATAAGTGATAATCATAACTTGGAAAGATTTCAGAGTTCACAAAGTATTATTTTCAATAGTAATATTTTATATTATAAATACATTTCCTCTAAGAAATAAGTCTATATACCTCTGTGAACTTCTACATGGTTAGACATGATCTAATCAGTTTTTATCTTGTATAATCTTACTTTTGATAAGGCTACTAGATTGCTACACCAGGGCAATATGTAGTCAGGGATTTCTGTAATGGTTTAAGCAGGGTTCCTCACAATAACCTGAGGTGTGAGATGAAAAGAGGGGAACATTTAGATGCCTTTATTCCATACCACCATGTAGGCTTGAATCCTGGGCCTTGGGCATGATAGGCTAGTGCTCTGTTCCATGACACTTGATTCAACCTCTGTCACTCTCCTAGACTGACTTTGATACTACAGCAGCTCTGATGTAGATAACTGGGCAGATATGTTATCTACATTCATTGCCCACCTTCACTGGTATATTTACTCCATAATACAACAAATGTTTTTTTTTTTATCTTCTCAGGACCTGTAAATAGGTCTACTTATTGTAATAAGGACAGGAAATTGGAGAACACAAGGCTGCCAAAGACCCAAGAATATACTTATGTTCACAAATGTAGACAGAAGGAATGTTTGTTCTAGGAAAAGTGAGTTGGCAGGCACTGTCTTCATTACCAAGCAAGCATTTGAAATCAAGGCTGTTTTTTGATGTTAGTGTTTTTTCAGAATGTTTTTCTTTTTTAAAATTAACTTTTAGGTTAGCACAGGAATGAGTTTCACCATGGCATTTTCATACATGTTTTGCTTTGTTCTCAGTCACCCCATTAGTCTCCTTTTTCCTATTACACGCGTTCCATTAGTTTTCCACCTCCTTGTTGGTTTCTTCCTCCCATCTGACACACCCCCTCAAAATATAAACACACACGCAATTCTAAATAAATTCAGAATTATAAACCATGTAGTATTCATGTGAGTCTGGCTTACTTAAACATTTAATGATTTCCAGTTGGATGCATTTTCTTCCAAATGTCGTGATTGCACTTTCCTGTATGCCTGTTTAAGATTCCATAGTGTTTTTACACTACATTTATCTACTGATCTGTAGATGAGGACATAGGCTGGTTCAGTTTCCTGGCTATGGCGAATAATGAGGCAATGAGCATGGGTGGGAAGGTACCTCTGTGGCGTGTGGCTTGGTTATTGGTGCATATATTCATGAGGTATGGCTAAGTCATATGGCAGTTCTATTTTCAGTTTTTTGAGGAACCTATACAGGTTCATTATTACTAGTAATCATTTTTTTTTTTTTTTGAGACAGGGTTGTCCTGGAACCTACTCTTAATCCCTGACATTGAACTCAGGGATCTGCCAGCCTCTGCATTTGCTGGCACCACACCTGGAATGATGTGTTTTTATGTGCATGGGTGGTTTGTCTGCATGTGTGTCTGTGCGCAGGTGTGTGTAGTGGCCAGAGGCCAGGTGTCAGATCTTTTGTAACTGGAGTTAGATTGTCAATAGCCAACATGTGTCTGCTGGAAACCAAACCCAGGTCCTCTGCCAGGGCAACCAGTGCATTTAACCACTGACTCCTCTCCAGTCTGCCTCCCCCATCCCATACGATTCTTTAAAGTAGTTGCATCAGTTTGTATTCCTGTCATCAGTGAATAAGGGCTCCTCTTTCCTCACATCTTCTGCAGCATGCTTTCTTAATGATAAGCCTAATTGGAGATGGAATCTCAAAAGCAGTTGTAATTTGCATTTCCCTATTAACTCAGGATGTTGAATGAGTTCCAAGTACTTATCGGCCACTTGCATGCATTCTCCTGAGAACTGTCTATTTAGATCATTCCATCTATTGGATATATCACTTGTATAAGTTTTGAAGTTTACTATTCTAGGTATTAATCCTGTCTGATGTGTAATGAGCTGTTTCTTTGCTCTTCCCTCCTCATTCAGTAGGCTTTTTCTTCCCCAGTGATTGTTCCTGTGTAGAATTTTACATTTTATGTAATTCCATTATCAATTCTTGTGATTATTTTCTGTGGTCCTGGAATCCTTTTCAGAAAATCCTTTTACTTGTTTCCCCCCAGTGGTTAGTTTCAGGTCTTACACTGTCATCTTCAATTCATTTTGACCTTTATACAAGATAAAAGATGTGAATCTAACTTCATTCTTATGTGTGTGGAAATCCAGTTTTCCCAGAGTGGTTTATAAAAGAGGCAGTATTTTGTCCAATGCATTTTTGACAACTTTGACAATGTACACAGACTTGTTGTCTGAATGCTTTAGTCTTCTCTTTGTGATCTTTTGTCAGTACCATGTTGCTCTTGTTACTATGGCTCCAAAGTGTGAGACTGGGTTTTATGATCCTGCTAAGGATTGCATAATTTAGTCTTTTATGCTTTCATACATGTTTGTAATTGTTTTCTAAGTTTGTAAAAAACATCATAGGGGTTTTTGTGGGGATTGCACTGGATCTCTATAGTGCATTGAGTAACACAGCAATTTATTAAAAATAGTATTAATTCTGTCAATTCTTCAACATAGCTTTCCATCTTTTAGTGTCTTCACCCCCACCCCCAATATGGTTTATATCACTTGTTTCAGATTTATTTGGAGGTTTTCTTAAAATGCAAACTTTGGGTCTAATGTTGTATTTGTTAAGCCTTGCATCTAAGAATGATTTCTGGACATCTATACTGAAGACTACAGATGGGCTACCATTTTTTCATTCTGTAACTTTGTGCTATTATTTTTGTAGTGTTGGGAGGATGGCAAAGCCCAGATGATCATGCCAGTTTGCCTTGAAACGATGGCATTTTAGGTCAGAAGATGTCTGGTTGGGCAGACTGCTGCTGTGAGGAAGTACATTTACTAGCACCCTACCCTTGTCCTGAGGAGACACTGAAATATGCCCCTTACAAAGTCCAACAGCCTGGACCGAGTAGAAGAATGGGTTCTCAGTCCAAAGCTCAGGTGCTGGAGGACAGTGTGTGGCAATGCTCAGCTGCATGAGAGGACAAGGTGGACTAAGTCTCTTGCAAGAGCTCCTACATAAAACAGACACTAGGTCATGAACACTAAGACAAAGTAGGCAGGGTTTGGCAGGCTAGCAAAGGTTTTTCTCTTCTATTATGGTTGATTTTACTGTCAATTTGCCATAAATCAGAGACTAGGAAGCCTCACCTAAGAACTGTCCTCATTTCCTAGCTGCGGGAAGGCCCACCCTGACCATCAGCAGTCTCCTTTTGTCTCTTGGCTTTCCCTCTTGTGCTGAGTTGATTCACACTGCTGGTTCCTTTGCTACTAGCAGAATCAGCATTTCCAGGCCTTCATAACGGAACAGGGATCATAGGCTCTATGGAAATTTCCTGGGCTTCTGGGGCCAGATCAGGGACTACTGAGGCATCCCAACCTGTGAAATGAGTAACTGTGGGTCATCGCCTCCATAGTGAGACAGCTACTCTCAGCTATTCTGGAACTATTTCAACTATTGAGGTACCCGGCCAGCCTGAATAACTGAGTACTGGGTGGGTGCTTAATGTCTCAGGTGTGATATGACTATCATTATTTTATATTCCCCTCCTCATTCTCATGTGTCTTCTTTTTGAAGACCAGGTCTCGTGCAACACAAGCTGGCCTTGAAATGTCCTTTATACACAACAGGAAATCCCTATTATGTTACTAGACCACAAAACAACCAAGCAAGCAATCAAATAATGAAGATAGAAGGAAACAAAAACAAAACAAAAAACCCAAAATAAACAACAGGAAAAAAAGAGAAAGAAAGAAAGGACTATCAAAGCTTTATTTACACTCTACCTGCCTTTCAATGTACAGATCAGCTTGAACCGAGATAAAGAGAGGCAGTACAGCAAGAGCCCACAACAGCGGGGGAATGCCTTTTCTGAAGGAACATGACAGGGGGTTCAGAGAATAAGAAGTTCTATGGTACTTTAAGCGGGTACACTTACCTGAAAAGTAAATCCTATGAAGGACCTGGATTAAACTTGACCAGTCTTGGTCAAACTTGATACTAAATTAAGCAGGAATTTCAAAAGGACTAAAGAACTCTGTAAAAAGCCGAGTTATAATGAATACTTTTATTCAGGACAAAAACATACAAACAATCCCAGCAAAACAACAAAAAACCATCTCATTCACTTGCAGTATCGGTCAGCTTTCAATTTGGCTCTCCTATTTAAGACACAAAGAATGGAGCAATGTAAGGCATAACCATAGAGTCAATTGCTACTAAGTAGAAAACTCATGCTTGGAAATTCTTCTATTTTCATTACTGTATAAACATTCATATTAAAAGATTTTTTATTAAAACTTTACCTTTCCACTTTCTTTTTATGTAAAATGGATTCTAGTCTTAGGAAACTTTTTTGTAGTATCTAACAGAAGTGGCTTAAGGGCTTTTTTAGGTCACAAGCGAAACGTTAGTCACTCATCAGTGTAAGCCTGCCCTAAGATTCTACTTGGCGGCAATGGTGAATTTTTTTTTTAACTGGTTTTAAAGTTACTAGACAAATAGCTTATTCCATTTTAGAGTTCACAGTCTGACTATATTTTATGTCCTTTTCTGACTTCTCAGAACTACACACATAATGATTTTTCCAGGTTGAAAAAAGCTCTCCCATTAACTGATTTCATCTTTACCAAACACTTAATAGGAAGTGCGTAATTAAGTATTATTTTATCTGATAATGCGAAGGCTTAGGAGCGATTTACAATAGAAGGCTTTATGACTAACAGGAGATTATCAGTGTATTCCTCTTCAGTTTGGCACTCTACTGGTTGACTGCTTTAAGCCTGCAGCTAACTTCCCTGCCTGCTTTTCAGTGTAGTAACTATAGGCTATTACTTATTTAACTAAAAGTAAACTGGAACAAATATCAATAAAGTTTATGATAAATATCTTGTACACTGCTGAATCTAGTGTTACTAAAATAGGTCAATTTCCCTTACTGAACTTTTAGTCTGGATACAAATTCATACATTTTTATCTCAGTTTTAGAAACCTCTAATATTCAAACAGAACACATAGAATCTTGGTATTACTCAGGCAACTTTCTATCTCTGTTCCTAGTTCTTAAGGGAAGATAATAGGAAGCAAAGGTAACTTTGACATCATGGAAATAGCCTGGCGGTTGGTTGCACGGTAACTGTTACATCATGGAAATTGACTTGGTGGTTGCATGATAATCACTATACTGGTGGTTCAGTAAATTTATGAAATAGCTTCAAACAAACCTGAAAATCTAAAAGAATTTAAATATTTATATTCTGATTATAATTTATAAGTTTGTTTTTAGCATACTTTCCCCAGAATTATGTCCTCTTTAGGTAATATTACCATATAAATTAGAGAAGGCAAAAATCCTAAAACAATAGTAATATAAGAACACACTACTTTTGAAAACTGCTATAATCATGTAAATAAACAATTACCTGTCCAGAAGCGTCTCATGCAAAAATCCATCTTTCCGAGCCTTTTTAAGAATTTTACTATCTTCTTTGCTTATTTTGAGTTTGTGGTCTTGGAAGCTCTGAAATTTCTTTCTGTGAAGAAAGATTTCTCATTGAAAAAAAAAAAACCAAATTTCAAACTTTTATTGTGTTTTCTTACCAAATTCTAAATACTATTAAAATTTTTTCCCACTGATTCATTTAACAAACCTAATTGTATTTCTACAAAAATTGACATTTTCCTATAAAAATTGAGTTTTCATCCTACAAAGATGATTTCTTGACCCATCAAGAGGCCTGTAGCCCTGCCAAGCCTCTTTCTAAGGATGTTGGCTAGTTGCAGTCCTCATGTCTGGAACATGAATGGCCCCTGGGTGGTGTGATCAACTCTATTAAAGAAAGCGAGAACTGACTGACCCAAGTGTCTTTGGCTTTAAGCTCTCAACTCAACACTCTATCTTTGAGTTCCCATTATTGGCTCTCAGGTGTCCTGAGAAACCCTACTGTCAGAGTGGAGTCTGAAAGGAGAATACATACACATAGTTGATTTCACACTGCTTCACATTTCCTTTGTCTTCTTCTGGGATGTCATCTTTCTTTTTGGTTTCTCTTTCAGCACAGGATCTAATCTAGATATTGATGAGGACCCAACAGGTTACATATGTATCTTCCTCTCCCCACTTGCTAGGCAAGAGCTCTCCATGTGATTTCTTATGCAAGTCAAGAAAACAAGTAACTTAGCAATAAGATTTAGGCAAAGCCAGTCTCAAGATGTGTGATGTGTTTTGATTTCACACACATTTATCATTTACAGAATAGTTGGAATTACATGTAGGTTGAAACAAAGCTTCATCAGATTCTACTTAGCCACTTGATGATCTGTCAGTACACTGAGAATTTTACTGTGATAGACAGGTACCTGTGTAACTTTTATAATTAAGTGAAAGCAAAGAGTAGCACTGAGGAACTCTGCCAGGAAGAAGGCGCTTTCCCTCCTAGTTAGTGACTTACATCAAAGTAACACAAACCATTGTTTTATGTGTTTCATGTTTCTCCTTGTGTACAGAACATGTTTGTATTCACAAAGAGAATAAAATCTGAGGGCCAAAAGCCAAAAGCTTTAAGACGTTTATGTTTACTTGGTGACCACCATCATGGGTGCTAAAGTAGCTGTCGACAAGAGTACAGCCTTTCTGTCAGGCAACTTCACAGTAGCTAACAAATCATAAAGGCACAGTCCCTTAGCTCTGTAATTTTGATTTTGCAGATTTGGTCATGTCAGTTATAGCACTGTTTCTAAGGAAAAAAGCCAGGAAACAATCTATATTTCAATTTATTTGAGACTGGTTGAACAAAGTAAGGAACATCCCTAAAATAGAACACTATGTAGGTGAGGAAGGGAAAGACTTAGTATAGATTTACACTGACAGGGATCTCCAAACGATGGGGGAAAGGATGGGAACCAGGTAATCAATGCAGATAGGAGACTCAAGCCTTTGTGTTTTCTACTTGAAACTTCCATGCTTTGTGAACATCCTATCTACCTTAAAAATTATGTATCAGGAAAACTATAGAGAAGCTCTAATCAGCAATCTCTCAACTGCATTGTACAAACAAGACATCACGGGACTTATGACAGCTAAGGCACAACTGGATCATCGTAGAAAATGGTGTTTTGTCTGGTAAGTGACAGTCAGCAGCTGTCCCAACATCACTACTAGCCAGTAGGAGGTGTTTACCTTAATCATTTCTTCTTCTCCTGCTGTTTTATTCTTTGCTTCTATATCACCTGCTTCGTTACATCTAATAAAGCAGCTATTTGAAGCCAATAAAGCCATTTTCCCCTAAATAAAACAAAGAAAAAAAATCAAGTTATGACTACTTGAAGAAATCATAGGTCATTATGATAATTTAAAAATTTCTCTCCAATTCTAAAATCAAAAAGAATTTAGAGAAATCCTGGAATATACAAAAGAAAATTTTAAATTAGCATGTATAAATCCTGCAGAAGGCTCTAGTAGGAAAACTACAAACTGAAGAGGCTAGCCACATCCAAGAAAACGAAGAATAAATAAATTAAACCAGGACAATCAAAAGAATGGCACAAAAACCCCACAACACAACACAAAATAATGGGAACCAACAAACATGGCTTACTGATAACACCAAAGATCTCAATTCCCCCAGTAAAACAACACACAGTAATAGTACAGATTAAAAACCAGGATCCACCACAAAGCTGCATCTAAGAAACACATCTTAGTATCAGGGATAGACATCACTTCTGGGTGAAAGGATAAAAAAGTATTTCACACAAATGGGCCTAAGAAGCAAGATGGTATAGTCATTTTAATATCTGACAGAACAGACTTCTGAACAAAACTAATCAGGAGAGGGAAGGACACTACATCAAAGGAAAAATCCACTAAGAAAATAATGCAGTTTAAACATCTATGAACCAAACACAAAGGCACCCAAGTTTATAAAAGAAACACTACTAGAGCTTAAATCACACACTGACCCTCACACAGTGATTGCGGGAGACAGGTCATCCAAACAAAAACTAAGCAGAAACACTGGAACTAACTGATGTCATAAACCGAACAGACTAGTAGACATTTCCCCAAACACAAAAGAATACAGCTTCTTCTTAGCAGCTCATAGTACTTTCTCCAAAACTGACCACAGAGCAAGTCTTAACACATACAAGGATATGAAAATAACATCCTGCATTCCAGCTAACCACCATGGATTAAACCTGGATATTAACAATAGAAAATGCACAAACTCATGAAAACTGGGCAAGTCACTACTGAATGAAAAATGGATCAAGACAGAAATCAAGAAGGAAATTAAAACTTAGAATTGAGTGAAAATAAAAACACAACACACCCAAACATATGGGACAAAATGAAGGCAGTTCAAGAGGCAAGTTCATATCACTAAGTGCTTATATAAAAGAAGATACTGGAAGACGGAGAGATCTCTGATGTTCACAGATCCTGAAAGGACAAAACCCAAGATAGTGAAAACAATCCTGAATAATAAAAGAACTCCTGAAGGTAGCACCATCCCCAATGGCAAATTGTACCACAGACCTATGTATTAAAAACCGTATGATATTGGCACAAAAACAGACTGGTTAATCAATGAAATAGAATTGAAGACTCAGACACCAATCCACATACCTATGGACACCTGATTTTTGATAAAGAAGCCAGAATTACAAACTGGAAGAGATGAAAACATCTTCAACAAATGGTGTTGGTCAAACTGGACAGCGGCATGTAAAAGAATCCAAATAGATCCATACCGATCACCCTGCACAAAACTCAAGTCCAAGTGGATCAAACACCTCAACATAAAACGAGATACACTGAGTATGACAGAGGAGAACATAGGGAATAGCTTAAAACTCACTGGCAGAGAAGACTTTCTGAACAGAGCACCATTAGCACTGGCACTAACAGTTAATAAATGAGACCTCATGAAACTGAAAAGCTTCTGTAAGGCAAAGGACACCATTATTTGGACAAAGTGGCAGCTGACAGAATGGCAAGCGATTTTTACCAACTACACATCTGATAGAGGACTAATGTCCAAAATATATAAAGAACTCAAGAATCTGGACATCAGGAAAACAACCCAATTAAAAAATGGGGTACAGATCTAAACAGAAAATTTTCAATAGAAGAAACTCAAATTGTTGAGAAGGACTTAGAAGAAATGTTCAACATCCTTATTCATCATGAACTACAAATCAAAACTGCTTTGAAATTTTATCTTACACCAGTCAGTAAAACAAATGGCCAAGGTCAGTAAAACAAATGACTGCTCATGCTGGGGAGGATGTGGAGTAAGGAAAACACCCACTGCTGGTAGGAGTGCAAACATACTATGGAAATCAGGAAGGTAGAAATCAATCTAACTCAAGATCAAGCTGTGTAATTCTTGAGTACATATCCAAAGGGACATTTTGTCCTACTACAGATACACAATTTAACCACATTTGTTACTGTTCCAACAGCCAGAAACTGAAACTAGATGCCCCTCAACAGAAGAATGTGGTACATTTACACAACAGAGTATTACTCAGCCATTAAGAAAATTTGCAGGTAAATGGATGGAACTAGAAAAAAATCATCCTGAATGAGGTAATACAGACTGAGAAAGAAATAGTATTCACTTACATATGGATGTTAGCTATTAATTCATTGATAAGCAGGCTACAAACTATGTAACCACAGAGGTTAGGTATGGACTAAGGGACTGGGAGGAGACACATTTCCCTAGAGTGGATAGTTATGGACTTTAAGAACAGAATAGTTATGAATGGATGAAGGGTGGGAGACTGGAATAGGGAACAGGAGGGAATACAGCAAGGGACTTCTAAAACTAAGGGCCATTTGAGGGGTCATATGGAAACCTAATACCGTAGAAACTTCCTAAAACGCACATAAATGAAGGAGATCTAAATGAAATCACCAAAGAAGAGGGGAGACAAAACCCCAGCTGGACATCTTTCATCATCAAGGAGAGCTTCCAAGACCAGAAATGGGTTACATCTAATCAAGCTGTTGGCCAATGGGGTCCCATGGGGATGCCCAAACAACTCAGGCAAGCACCAGGATTATTAGTGGCTCTTGACAAAATGAAGGCAAAGCCTTTATTACTGAAGACAACACCTATAACTCACTGAGCCTTATCTCCTGTGGATCAGCATTTGTGGTACTAGAAAGCACTCAGTATTCTGTCATAGGAGAAAGGTAAACACCAACCTAGTTGCAAACCCTTTATCTACAATGGTGACCTGACTGCAGGATACACTGGTGCAGCAGCAGCACAAAGCTTGTGGGAGTAGTAAGTAACCAGTATCTGATTCATTTAAGGCCCACTCCATTAGATGGAACCTATACCCAATGCTGTTTAATGGCCAAGAATCTGAGAGGAGATAGGCCAGGGACCTAGGGGAAGACCAAATACTATTGTTTTGCTAAAGGGATGTAGCATTATAATGATACCTAATGACATTCTGCTATATTCATGGATCAGTGCCTTGCTCAGCCATCTCAGAGAAAACTTTCTCCTGGAGCAGATGGGAAAAACCAGAGACCCACAGCCAGATGATAGATATATAGAGAGCAGGGCACCTTGACACACTCATTCTGAAATGGGGTATCTCCATTAAATCCCTCCCTTCAGCGGTCAGTGAACCCTATGGAAGAGGAAGTGGAAAATGTGTAAGAGCCAGATAGAGGACACCAACAAAACAAGGTCTTCTGAACATAGCATGACCAATGCACGTATGAACTGAGAGAGACTGACAGCACATACAGAGCCTGCAGGTCTGCACCAGGGGTCCTAGAGTGGTAAGGTGGAGTGGAAACATGCCCCCTAAGCCAAAAGCTATCTCTAATTGGTAACCACTTGTAAATGAAAAATTAGTTTCTACAAGGGAGTCTCACTGGGAGAAACAATCCACTCTTAAGGGTCATGCCTAGCAGTAGACAGCTAACACCAAACAAACTCAATGGCATCTTTGGAGGTTCTTTGTTTCATAATGTTGAGTCAGAGCATTTTTGTTTCAACCTTACAGGTTCACATACTTATATATTATGGCTTCTGGTTTTGTTTTCCTGGGATTCCTATGTATGTGAACATGTGTGTTTCTATTATGTTTCTTGTGCTTGTTCTTTGACTCTGTTTTTTCTTTTGTTTGTTTTTTCCTATTCTGATGTGTTATATTTTATTATTGTATTATATTTCATTATTGCTCCCAAGATGCTTGCTTGTTTTCTAAGGAGAGACAGAAAGGGCAAGGATCCTGATGGAAGGGGACCTAGAGAGGAACTAGGAATAGTAGGGGGAGGGGAACCATAATCAGAATATATTGTATGAAAAGAAATCCACTTGCAATAAAAGAAAACAATAGATAAGAACTGTTGAATACAGTTCTTGCTCATTAGATGTCAAAATATGTTTTTCACAACAATATGGCCATAACTTTTTGTAAGTCACCGACTCAAGATTTTATCCTAGGGGATGAAGACAAGGATAAAGTAATTACCTCATCTTGGTAGAACAGCTAATTTATCACCTTGGAATGCACCAAGGCATTGTACTGTTATTATTATGTCACTATTTTTGGTCTCTGTGTGCTTAAATGTAGTGTGTGTATGTGTGTGTGTGTGTACATGTGAAGGCTGGAGAGCACCTGTTATAGGATATTTGATCCCACTATGAACCCCAAGATTGCATTATTTACTGGAAAAACCTGTTTCTAGCTGTGGTATGATTCAGTCCTAGCACACACCTTTAATTCAAGAGCTTGCTGCTTGAGTACTGTCAACAGGTTAAATAAAGTCAACCATGGGTCAAGAGGCAGAGCAAGCAACCAGTTGACAGGAAGTGAACATAGGGATTATTAAGAAAAAACCAGAGAGTAGGAAGGAATCAGGACAGCTAGAGAGACACACAGGAAATAGGAAGGAGGAACATGCAGTTTGAGGAGGTTGGTTTGAGAGCTAGGAATAGAGGGCGGTTTCTTGGACACCAGCAGAAGAGGAAGATCACCTGGGTGTTTGCTCTGCCTCTTTGGGCCAGCAGGCTTTCATTCCAGCAGCTGGCTCCCAAGTCTTTATTGGTAAAATTGAATGACTGAGATTTTGTTAAAAACAACAGACTCCAGGTGTTCTACCCATTACTCTCTGCCTTATTCCTTTGAAAAAGGGTTCTGTGAACCTGGGGTCAGGCTGGTGGCCAGGAGTCTCTGCTAGCGCCTTGAGGTTGTAGACAGATGCAGCCTCATCCAGCTGTTTCATGGTTGCTGCAATCTGAACTTTGGTCCACATACTGATGTTTCAGACATTCTTTCTCTGGCCCTGATGCTATGCTAAAATGTACATACCATTGTTGCTGGACAGCTACTGAACTTCTTTTATGGCTTGTTCTATTTTTCTTTAGAGTTTTGATATGTTACAACTGAATATTTACTAAAACTAATCTTTAATTAAACTTGTTTATACTGATTTTCTCTCATAAACTGAAACTTAGAGCTCTACAAAGGGTATTTATTTCAATGAACCATATCACGATTTACTATTTTATGCACAAACTGTCACAAAGCTATTGTCCTCTTGTCAGTCTCTAAAGGTTCTGAACCAGCTTATATGGAAAAAAAATGCTCCTGAAACACTGGGATATGCTTCTTTTTAAAAACCCAACACTTAAATGTAAGAGTCCTAATCTTTTCACGGAAAGTAAGATAATAAGGCCTCAGTGATGGACAGAAACCAGAATGGGGAAGGTACTTTTGGTTCCACTGTTTGGACATCATTATAGGGTTATACATTCACTCTAATTTGGACATTATTATAGGGTTATACATTCATTCTAATTTTTCCATATCACTATTACAATGTACCCCTGTTTTATTACTAACTTTATAGAATGTGCTTTCACTGACAACGATGTTTTCTTCAACTGGTAGAGTATCCTTCCAAGAAATAGTACTTACATCTTGAAACACTGGTTCCCATTGTTCTCTTGGCCCAATTGCATCCGAACGCCCAACGACAAGTCCATCTGAATTTATACCAAGGTATTTTCCATAGCCCGATTTCAGGGCAATTCTTTGGTTTAATAAAAAAGATAAATATTAAAAACTGAGAATAAGAATTTAACCATAAAATAAAGAGCATACTTAAGTATTTATGTATGTGTATATACATACATACATGTATATGTACATGCACATGTGTGTATATATATATGCATATACATTAAAAATCTAGACACGTTTACAGTGAACACTATATTCTCTATAATCTTAAATTTCATTTTCTAGTATTATTATACAGTATCTTACATTATACAGCAATCGTTTTCCAAATGCATTACTATCCTAGCATAGATGTATGAAAGTCACCTTTTATACTATTATACAGTCTTACTGATTTTTGTTATAAAACTGCTGATCCATCTTTAGAAGAGGAAGCCACTGGATTGAAGGTTATCAACGTATGATTGTAAAACATGGCCTTTTTTAATAGTCCATGCTGACTCCTACTAGATATTAGAACTTCATAGTTTGTCAACATGCTCTCAAGAAAAGGCTATAACAACTTAGGTTCTCACCTCAAGATTTTATTGAGGAGAAGGAGGTGTGCTCTAAGCCAGCAATTCTCAACCTAATGCTGTGACCCTTTAATACAGTTCCTCATTTTGTGGTAACCCCCAACCATAAAAATAATTCGTTGCTATTTCATAGCTGTAATTTTGCTACTATTATTAGCTATAATAACATGCGGACAGATGATGTGACACCTGTGAAAGTGTTGTTCAACCCCCAAGTTGAGAACCACTGCCCTAAGCTATGTATCTAGCTAAAAAAGTTATTTTAGTCATGTACTTTGAAGAAGTACACCCTGGCTATGGCATGTTCCTTTAGTTCTAGTGCTGAGGAGGCAAAGGTAGGTGAATCTTTGTGAGTCAGAGGCCACCTTGGTCTACATAACAAGTTCCAGGCTGTTTTCTACTGATGTCATCAGCATTATGAATGCTATGCATATATACCACCAAGTAACCACTCACTGCATATGGAGAGTGTTGCAAATACTTCTCTCATTTTCTATTGCTCATAATATTTTTGTCTATAACTATAAAAAGTTTACTGACATTTGTTCCTTTGTTTTATTCCTAAGTCTTTCAAAGAAATATAGAAGCCATTGTGTAAATGTGATTTAAAAAAAAAATGATTTCTGACTTTTATTTGCCAACCAATTTCCAGGGATGCTGAACTGACTTGAAACTCAGTTGGAGGCTGATGATAACATAAATCATTATTATGTTGCTGTAATTACTACTAGAACAGCAACACTCAATTTCTGTACAAAGCAAAAGTATCATTTTGTGCTTTTGCACTGTAAGAACAAAAATGGTCATTTTTTTTGTGTGTGTGTGATCATGGAACACTTTCTTGTTAGTTTCAGCAATATTCTTTTCTTTTGCCTTCCTATTTCTTGACTTTTTTTTTTTTTGAGATAGGGTATCACTACATACCCTAGCTGGCCTGAACTTGTAATCTCCTTTCTGAGCCTCCCAAGTGTCTGCCACCATGACTAGTATGTCTCTTCTGATGACAAATCCATATATTAGAGTAGCACTGACAGATCTTATTTCATGTTTGTCTTCTTTTCATGCTCTTTATGATCTATTTGGCCTCTTGAAATTATTTTCATTTTTAAGCTCTTATTTTTTTCTAGACAAGTGATATATATTGGGATTATCTACATAAGTAGTACAGGTTAAGTAACCCTATTCCCAAAATCTCCAAAACCCCAAATTTCTGAGCACATACCTGAGATCACATATAGACAATGTGATTGTTTACATCCAAATCAAGACAATGTATATCTGATGTAATAAAACATTTTGTGTCCCTTCACTAATGTACATGTAGATTTTCCCCAACCCCCAAACCAGAAATCCAAAAAAAATTTGAGTATAAATAATAGATTTTTTGAACACCATAAAATATCCTTTTTAAGCCAGGCATGTTGGTGCACGCCTTTAATCCCAGCACTCCGGAGGCAGAGGCAGGCGGATCTCTGTGAGTTTGAGGTCAGCCTGGTCTATAGATTTGAGTTCTAGGACAGTCAGGACTCTGTAGAGACCCTGTCTTAAAATAAGAACGACAACAACAACAACAAAAACCAAAACTCTGTTACAAAACAGTCTGTCAATTAAAACTATTCTCTGATCTTGTATTCACTAATAGTGTAGTTTTTTTTTTAAACTTTAGTGAAATTATTATTATTTTTTGAGACAGGGTTCCATGTAGCCCAGGCTGGTCCCAAACTCATTATACAGCTAACATAGCCTTGAATGCCTGATCCTCCGAACTCTATTTCCTATGTGTTGGTATGAAAGGCATGCATCAGCATGCATGGTTAACTGAAGTTAAAATTTAAATACAGTTCAACTATAGCAGCTTACCTGGAATCAGACAGTTTCACAGCAGTAAACTGCTCTGGGGGACTAGGGCCCTCATCAACTATAGGAAAACAAAAATGGAGAATAAACAACATTTGCTAGAAATATATACACAAATATTTTTATGCTTTAAAAAGTAGCTCCCCCCCTGAAACTACAAGTAAGGATATTACAATAATTGAACACATTGTTATAATACACTACCTATACTATTAAAACATCATTACATGGTAAATTTATGTATTTTGCAAGACAGTTTGGCATAACTTACTTAGCCACTGTCAATATAATCAGTACATTAATAAAAGTATATGGAATACTAAATGCTTTTATTTACTTAAGGAACATCCATTCTGACCAAACCATACGCCTTTTTACTTTCCAATTACTTCATCCTTGTGGTGATTCCTTGTGGGCTAGGGAATAGGAGAAAATGTCTAAATGGTATCCCAGTTCTGAAGGGAAAAAAACCCCAAAAAACTTCAAACTTCTGATTCAATTAGATATTCTTCTTTCTTTTCACTTACAAGAACAATTTTAAATGTGATTTTAGTTTTATTTTTTATTTCTACAGGGTTTCTTCTGACAGTAGTCATAAAGTTTCAAGTGCTTATTCTGGAAAAGGACAGTTCTCAGTAGCAGGAATGAGGAAGGAAAAATGGGGAGGAGCTCAGTGTGATGGTAGCCTTGCTTTGGAACACGCCTCAGACTCATCCACAAACTTGGTAATGTTTTACTTGGCGGGGCCTCCCCATCAGCGTTTGTCCCACACAAACCTTCTCTATGTGGAGCTCCCAGAGTAAAAAGGCCATTGTCCAGTGCATGGATATAGGCTCCTTTATCCATTTCAATGGCAATGGTTCCTGAAATCTCCCCAAAGTTGGAAACAGTCCACCAGATTCCTATAAGATAAAAATCAAGGTTTAACCATTCTATTTTAGGATTACCCAAGGTTTTCTGTTGTTTTTACTATAACTTATTTCTAAAAGCCTGTATTTGACAATTATAAGAATCAATCCTTCACTAAGTTCCTCCTAATTGTACCATCTTGCATAACTCCTGTATAATCCTTAGCACAACATTAACATAATCCCAAACCTTACTGTTATTTTACCAGTTTTGTACAAACTAGTTTGTTTATATGGGTGGATTCCTGTGACCAACAACACAGCCAAGATCACTCTAAAACTTGTAGAGATGCAAAAGGGTAAGAAGGTGGGCAGCGCTTCCTGTACTTGGGAAGCAGAGGCAGGACGATCTTTGTGAGTTCGAGGCCAGCCTGGTCTACAGAGTTTCATGACAGCCAGGGTTACACAGAGAAATCCTGTCTCTCCAAAAACCAAAACCAAACCAACCAACCAAACAAAAACATCCCCACAAACTCCCAAAACCAAACCAAATCAAACTAAAAGGGTAAAAAAGTAGTTTCTCTGATTGCAGAGCCCACCCCACAAGCTAATGTAGACCCACAGAGAGAGGTGCTTTCCAGCCAACAGCCTCTCGTTTTCCTCAGAGGATGCCTGAGACCAATGCCAAATCCTACACACACTCATGCTTTCCCCACACCCATCATAAAGCTTTATGCATTCTAGGCAACTGCCCTACCATTGAGCCACACCCAAGCCTACATTTAATAGCAAATAGAACCTCAATAGTGAATTTCAGAAAAATAATACATTTTTGACAACTACAAAGTTTTCAGTCTTTGCCAAAGTAGAGAAAATGAAACATTACTTTTAGAAATCCCCACTGCCTAAAAAGTTATCCATAGCACATTTGTGTTTTTTCTTGGATTCAAGTTGCCTCTACTCAAAGGCCAGAGGTATGTTTACATGTTTCATGGATGCAGAATCACCCCAAGACTAAGCTGTCAAAAAAGCAGCAGGTGCCATGGACTGGGCTCACTAAAGCCACCCATCACCAATCAATCACAGTTTTGTTTTGGTGGTAGTTGGGGGACCCAACTCACACCTCACAGCTTTACAGTGTCGGTGCTGTGGACACTGAAGCGGAATCTGAGATCCTCTGCAGCACTTCGTTCTTAAACAAACCCAGGGACATCAAATTCTACACTGTGATATTTTGAAAAGGTGTTTCTGTGCAGTCTCATTTACAGTATGACTGGAGAACATACTTTCTTGGTTTATTTCTATGGACACTTAAACATGTATTCCGCAGTTGTTAGCTACTGTTTTCTATGTCAGAACAATTGGCAAGTGGGGTACACGGTCAAATCTTTATTATTCTCTGATCAATTGTACAACTTACTAAGAATTGTTTTTAAAATTGTCAGTTATAATTATTACCTTGGTAGAACACCTATGAAGATCCTAAGCCTAAAATCATACTATATGGGGGACTACTCAAGACTTTTTGCTGAAGATTAGAAATAACAACTATGGCTATTCTCACCATATCTGTTCAACATTTCTAAAGTCCTGGCTGTTAAAAGAAATAAAAGACACAAGGAAGAAAGGAAAATTAAAACTATAATCAAAGAAAACAAGACTGTAGATGTCTATATAAATGAAAATATTAATGATAATGAGGGAGTGATAACACCTCAAAGAACAAGGCTGATACAGAAATGTAAACTATATATAATTAATATATTGAATCTCCCAAATAACCCAGAAGCAATACAATGCTCTCAGATAACTCAACAGGCTTTATTAAATAAAATGGTAAGTTGACTCGGAAATTTATTTGGATATAAAAAACTCAGAACAGCTAATTTTAACAAAAGAAATACAAAGTAGAAGGACTCAACTATCGGACCGGGAAAGTTTATGAAATGAAAGTAATAAAGACAAAATTTTAATAACAGGAAAATGTGTACATGAAACAGGAGTCAAGAAACTGACCACCAGACAGAAACTAATTTTTAAATAGCCATTTCAAAAGGAGGCTGGAACTGGTTGTAAACAGGAAAAACAAAAACAAACCCAACCTCTGAATTCTACCTCATACTGTACAACCAACTTAGGTGGATGATAAAACCAGGAAGAAAACCCTAAACTAAACTAGAGTATGTCTAAAAGGAAAAGTGCAAATTTTTCATGATGTTGGGATAAGCTAAATAAGATGCAGTGACCACATGAGAAACAATTAACAAGCTTGGAAAACTTGTGCCTAGCTCATCAGAAAAACACTGTAAAGAAAACAAAAGGTACCAGGGTGGGAGGAAGAGCTACTTGCTATCACGGATGTGTAACAGCAAACACATTTAGGAAATTCTGGCACATTTTAGTATTGTTAAATACTCACCTATCCTAAGAATTTGCTAATCAACACTCACATAGCTACTCTTGATCCTGCCCCTGATTATAGAATTCTGTTATTTTAGAACTACTTTTTCAAATGACATGAGGTTTCCCACATAATTTGTGCACCACTGCCTATTTTCTTTGAATCCTTTATTACCTTTATTTATTATTTGTGTGTGTGTGTGTGTATGTGTGTACGCACGCGCGTGTGTGCGCATGTGCGCTCATGTGTACATGGATGCATGCAGAGGTCAGAGGTCAGTGGACAATTTGTGTGAGTCACTGCTGGGATCCAGGGATCTATATATCAGGTTGTCAGGCTTGGCTACAAATGCCTTTACCTGTTGTTTTATTTTGTCAAAGTTTGAAATTTTAACTTGCCAAATTTTGATAGACAAGAAATTTGACTTAAAGTATAGGCATACAAAGGACAAAAACCAAAACCAACCAAACAAACAAAAAACCCCAAAACATATTTGGATATGGGTTTGGAAGAGACTATTTCTATACCATTTATAGAATACCTTGATGCACTAGTTTGTTTAGAATTTTCATTTATTTCAGTATATAAAATTAGTTTCCTAGATTATACTGCCTTTGGGAACACAAATTGTGGACTTTTCACTAAAATTCATGCATTTCCCAAGAAAATAATTTGTACTTGGTTAAGCAATCTGTTTGTATGATAGGCATTTAAAGCTATGGACCAGGCTCTGGCGACTAAGGAGTTTCTGCTCTACTTAGTAGTTCTGCTGGTAAGAACAACAGTGACATCTAGTGAGCTTCTGAAGTGAAGGATCTGACAAGCAGGCCCTTGGTTCTAATGAGGACAACTTTCAAGTGGTGCACCAACCAGCAACAGAAGCTAACTTGTCATGCAATAAAGAGCTCAAGTGGCTTACCCACAATATCAAGTTGTGTTTCTTCATCTTCCTCCCGTTTTCTCTTCTTATCTTTGCTTTTCTTCTTCTTACTAAAGGAAAAAGAAAATACATGCATGAGTGTGGAAATACTGATATATGTGTTTAAAATGACAAGATGAACTACTCAGGAGTCGTTCAAGCTATATATTAGGTATAGATAAGTGACTTTTAAAAATTTACTACATACCTGTTGAGGTTTGCTAACCATCCTGAGTGAGGTAACCCAGTCACAAAGAGACAAACATGGTATGTACTCACTCATATATGGATTTTAGACATAGAGCAAAGGATTACCAGTCTACAATCCACACTGCCAGAAAAGCTAGGAAAGAATGAAGACCCTAAGAGAGACACACATGGTTCCCTGGAGAAGGGGAAAGGGACAAGATCTCTTGAGCTAATTGGAAGCATGGGGGGAGGGGAGAGGGAGTTAGGAAAAGAAAAGGGGAAGAGGGGAGAGGAGGACATGACGGAGCAGGAAGGTTGAGTGTGGGAGGGGGAATAGAGGAGAGCAAGAATAGAGGGAGTCATTATAGGTTTAAAGAGAAATATGGTAATAGGGAAATGTCCAGAGATCTACAAGGATGACCCCAACTAACAATCTAAGCAATAGCGGAGAGGCTACCTTAAATGCCCTTCCCTGATAATGAGACTGATAACTGCCTTATATGCCATCCTAGAGCCTTCATCCAGTAGCTAATGTGAACAGAGGCAGACACCCACAGTTAAACACTGAGCTGAACTCCTGGAATCCAGTTGCAGAGAGGAAGGACTGATGAGCAAAGAGGTAAAGACCAGGCAGGAGAAACCCACAGAAACAGCTGACCTGAACAAGGGGAGCTCATGGACCCCAGACTGATAGCTGGGAAACCAGCATAGGACTGATCCAGACCCCCTGAATGTGAATGTCAGTTTGGAGGTTTGGGCAATCAATGAGGCCTCTGGTAGTGGATCAGTATTTATCTCTAGTATACGAATAGACTTTGGGAGCCCATTCCACATAGAGGGATACTCTCCCAGCCTACCCACATAGTGGGGAGAGCCTAGGCCCTGCTCCAAATGATATGACAGACTCTGAAGATCTCCCATGGAAGGCCTCACCCTCCCTGGGGAGCAGAAAGGATATGGGATAGGGGGTCAGTGGGGGGCAGAGGAGGAGGGGAGGGAGAGGGAACTGGGATTGACATGTAAAACAAGCTTGATTCTAATTTAAATAAAAAAGAAAATGCTGCATTAAAAAATTACTGAGTGACTATGAACCTTCTATTGCTGAAGAATGAAAAATGGTACAGCTTCTGTGCTGGCTAGTGTTCTGGTCAACTTAACACAAGCTAGAGGCATTTGGGCAGAAGGAACCTCCACTGAACAAACGCTCCCGCCAGATTTGGCCTGTGGGCAAACCTGTGGGGGCATTTCCTTGATTGATGACTGATACAGGTGGGCATAACTCATTGTGTAATAAAGCAGGCCGAGCAAGCCAGTAAGCAGCATTTCTCCACGGTCTCTCCATATCAGTTCCTGCCGCCAGGTCTTTCCCGGATGCTGGAATGATTACAAGATGTAAGCTGAAACAAACTCTCTCTCCACTTGTACACCTTTGGTCTGGGTTTGCTATCACAGCAACAGAACCCCTAAGACAGACAGTCTCTTTGGAAAATTGTCCCAAAAAGCTAAACACTGAGTCCTAGGTGACTCTACTCCCATATAGCTCCAAGAAAAATGAAAAAAGTATGTCCACAAAAACTAGACTATTGGTAGCAGCGTTTTCACTAGTGTAAGGTGTCCATCTAATGAAGAAAGAATAAAAGATGCTAGCAACATACAAAAGCAAATCATTTGGCCACAAAGCAGAACAAATACTACACTGCACCGCTCTGGGGATGCTCCTCAAAACTAAGTCAGACAAGCCAGGTATAGTGACATATGCCTTTGACCCCAGCACTGGGAGACTGAGGCAGGAGGATCTCTGTGAGTTCCATGCTAGCCAGGGCTACACAGTGAGACCTTCTTTCAACAACCTAAGTGAAAGAAGCCAAACACAAAAGGTTATATATTGTGTAATTCCAACGACATAAATATTCATAGTAAGCAAATCTTTGTAGACTGAAAGCAGTTGACAGGAACCTGGAGGGACCGATGGGCATGACTATTTAAGGTTAAGGCGTTTCCTTTGGAAAATACCAACTAGATAGTGGTGAACTCATATACTAAAAACCACTAGCCACACACTTTACAAGGAGTTTATGGTATATGAATTACAGCTTCATAAACGAAAACACAAAAGAAGATCTTAGGAAAAAAGTGCTTATCACAAATCCCGAGCTGTGCGGTGGTGGCACAAGCCTTTAATCTCAGCACTTGGGAGGCAGAGGCAGGAGGATCTCTTGAGTTCGAGGCCGGCCTGGTTTACAGAGCGAGTTCCAGGTCAGCCAAAGCTACAAAGAGAAACCCTGTCTTAAGTTCTTTGCTTCTTAACTACAAGGTTCTCAGAAGCCAATTCTGTCCTCCCTGCAGCTGCTTCAGTTTCGGATTCCATCAGGATAAATTCTTCACGATCCCACACTCCAGCGGAGTCTTTTCCCTCCCAAGAGGTGGGATTAAAGGAGGGCGCCACCCAGCACCAGGCTCCCTAACAAGTGCCTACTGAAACTGCTTCACCAGTGATCTGGGAGAGAAGCGCTCAACCTTGGCCAGATCTTTCGGATGCGGAAGGAGCTACGAAGGGGCAAGTAGCATTCTCTAACGATCGAGTTATAAATCGCCACCAGCTCGCCCTCCCTTGGCTGTTAGGGTCTGCGCCGGTTTGCCTCTTCCAATTCTCGGAACTCTTTTGACAGACCCGAGACGCTAGAAACGTAAACAGTATCTGAACCATCAGTCTTCGTCACTGGTGCGGTCCACATCCGAGCCCGCACCCACACCGAGGACCCAGAGCTCGCAATCGTGGGGAGGGGATGCGCCGAGAGCCGGGACTCCCGCCCGAGCCCCCGCCTCACCTCTTGGCCTTCGTTCCCTTGAGCACGAGTTTGGTGGACTTTACATAGGAGTATTCAGCCATGGCTCGGCACTCAGAGGCAGCCGCCTCCGGCAGACTTCCTGTGGGCCGGGGGCGGGAAGTGCAGAAGGACGGCGAGCGGCTCTAACCGCGGGAGATGAGGGAGTCACTCAGGAATCCTCCGCCTTCTTCGCACCAGCGCCACGAATCTCCCTACTTCCTGTTTACTGTAGTGGAGACGCTACGGCGGCCGCGGAGCGTCTAAACGCGGCGACGTCCCGGATGTTGGGGCTCTTCCCAATAGGCAAAGCGGGCAGAGGTGGCCCCCTGGTGGACGAGGAGGTGTCTAACAGCTTCCTGTGGTCGAGACTGCAAAGAGCTGGCTGGGATTTGATGAGCCAAATGTTGAAATTGTCAAAATTGCTCGCCCAGACTTTTTGCAGCGGACAAAGCCCGATGCTTTAGGCAGCTAGCCAGGGCTGGGCCTGCGTAGAGGAACCGGGATCTGTGGTGTATGGAGGTGTGGGTAAGAGCCTTAGCCTGGGGCAACTTTGTCAAACACTTCAGTGCCTGGGCTATTACTCTTGTCTTCCTAGTGATAGAATACAACAGACCATTGCGAAATTGTAATACCTGGTAAAGTTGCACAAGACTATGGCTCTGTAGAGCCAGATTTCCTTTTAGGCAGCCAGGAGTGGGCCAGTACTACCTTCCCTAGGGAGTGCACGCCAGGACAGTATGGACAAGCACCGAGTCATCTCAAGCTGCTTCTTATGAAACACTCACCTATTGGAGACTTAGCAGGAGGGCAAGCCAGCCCTATGGAAAGCTGTAACTAAGTTTTTGATCCCCATTTCTTGTGTGTGAGTGTCTGTATGTGTGTGAGTGTAGGTGTGTGTGTGTGAATGAGTGTGGGTGTGAGTATATGTGTGTGACTGTCTTTTTGTGTGTATGTGTGGGAATGTGACTTTGTGTCTGTCTGTGAGTGTATGTGTATATGTGAGTGTATGTATATGAGTGTCTTTGTGTGTGTATGTGTATGTGACTGTATTGAGTGACTGTCTTTTTGTGTGTATGTGAGTGTATGTGTGACTGTGTGTGTGTGTGTGTGATAAAGCACGAAGTGCTACTCTAAGAACTGCTGCTCCCTGAGCTCCTCATGGCATCTGTCTTACTGCTGGGCCATCTCCATTGCTACAATTGATGCTCAGCCTCCTAGAGAACCTCTAGAAGGAAGTCAGGAACTCTTAATCCCATCCGTTAATAAGGATTTTGTTTCTCTACTCAATTGTTCCCAAATCATAGACAATCCAAATAACTATTGGAACATAGAGGTTGGATTCAAAGAAGGTAGGGGGATGGCATTGGAGAGATTCCTTGGTTGGGACCCTCAAGAGATTTGTGTGTGATGCCCTCATCATCACTTACAGTTTGGAATGAGAGCTGCCACGGGTTCAGATGCTAAGGGTTTCTGAGGTCCACTTTGCACAAGTCTGTATCTTGGCTGAGTTCTGGACAGAGTTTTATGTTAATTTCAGCGAGTGTACCACATCCAGGTTTTGTAGCAGATGCTTGGGATTTTATCACTGGGAATTCTGGTTCAGGGGCTGGAGAGATGGCTCAGTGGGGAAAGCTGCTTGTTGTGACTCCTGATGGCCTGAGTCACACAATGGAAGGAGAGAGCTGTCTTCCGGAAGCTGCTCTCAGATCCCCACATGTACACCATTGTGTGTGTGTGTGTGTGTGTGTGTGTGTGTGTGTACATAAAATAAAATATGCAAGAAGTTACAAAATTTAATTATGTTGGCTGTGGCCAACAGAGTTTTAAAAGTTTGATGTTAGTGAGGATTCAGGCCTGGCCTTTTCTGGTAGGCCCTGTATGGCTTTAGCCTTTCTATTGTATCTGTCACAAAATCTAACAGTAAACAGGCCTTCTACAAGCAATAAGCTGCAAGCTTATGCATAAAGTCTTGCTAGAGGTCCAAGCCTAGCCTGGGCTGGCAGTTCCAATGTTTGGAAACCCTCCCTTCTTACTTTGCCTTCCAGTTCTTGGGCTGGCAGCATCCTCACCCCTCTGACCTCCCAAAGCAGTGGCTCTCCTTCTGTTCTGGGGACTCTTCCACTTTCTAAGGTGCCTTTTCCAGTGTCTGGATGCGTTTTCATTGGAAACAACTGGGAGGCAGGGTAAGAGTGGAGGGTTGCTTCTTAATATCCCACCACATGCTGGACCGCTCCTCCCCACTGAAGAATTGCCCATAATGCCAAGGGTGTGAAACTTGCCCTCAGCCTTCATTTACAACTTTCTTTTGCCAGATCTCAGTCTGCCAGAACAAACAGCAGCTCAAATACATGCCTAAAAATCACCTAGTGAGTTGCAGATTCAAAGTGAAGATTTCCTAGGGGATGGAAGCTTAGTGAGTCTGGGACTTGGGCCTAGAGTTTGCATTGCAACAAGTGTTCCAGGGAATTCTGAAGAAAGCAAGATGAATTACCCTCTGACAAACACTGCCCCGAGTGATTGAATTTTGATTCAAAACACAAAACACTAACTTGGCATGTGAGATGCTTTGCTGGATGACTGATTTTACTGAAACAAATATTCTGTCTTCTTGCATGGCTTTGTATATAGAATGTGCTCGTGGCTTCCTGCACCTTCCTCTCCCTCATATTCCCCTGCTTCTCCTCCCACCCCCATGATATACATTAAAATTACCATTGACTGGGCGTGGCTACGCATATCTTTAAACCTAGCACTCAGCAGCTGAGGCAGGCAGATTGCTTTCAGTTTGAGGCAACGTGAGTTCTAGGCCAGCCAGGGCTGCTTAGTGAGATCCTGTCTCAAAAAAAATGCATCAAAGCTGGGAGGAGTCCCTCCTATTCCTCAAATGTGCAAAGCCTTGGATTTGATCTACAATGCTGCATTCGATTCTTAGACAAGGCAGGCAGGCAGGCAGACAGACAGGCACCCCTGCCCCCAACACACACTGCCTGGCTCTGGAATTTACAACAGTGGAGGAAGACCTGTACAGATAATACATAGTAGTCTTAATTTTTCTAACGAATTAATTAATTAATTAATTATCAAGACAGGGTCTTACCATGTAGCGTTAGGTGCCTTGGAAACCTATGTAGACCCAGCTGTACTTGAATTCACTGATGTCCACCTGCATCTGTCTCTGCAGTGCTTGGATACGAACAAGTCCCGCCACACCTGGCCTATCATACTTTCTTAACAAGGCGGCGAGATGACTGGTGTTACACTGGGAGACAAGCAGGCGAAGAATAAACACATCTAAATATTGCCATGTGGTCTACACTTTTATCTTGTACACGAAGGAAGTTATAAAAATTCTGCTTTAAGCAGTAATGAGATAAAAGCACAATCTGGCTAAGTATTTTCCTAGTTTACCAATCTGTAGTAGTGACTTTATCAACAATAATGTTACCCACATCCAAGAGTATGATAGATTTTTTATTTTTTTAAGAAGAGAGAACTTGAGGTTGGGTGGATTAGAAAATGGGAGCGGATCTGGGAGGAGTTCATGAAGGAGAATGAATATGATCAAATATATTAGGTAAAATTCTTAGAGGATTAATAAAATATTATTAAAAATAATAAAAATTGGAGCCTCCCCTCCCGGTGGGAGCCTATGCACCTCAGCTTCCTAGTCTTCTCCACCCATGGGACCAGGCAATTTTGGGGCCTGTGTTCCAGTGCCTGGAGACTTCCATTGAGCCTCCCCTCCCAGTGGGAGTCTACACACCCCAGATTCCTGGTTTTCTCCACCCATGGGACCAGGCAATTTTGGGGACTGTGTTCCAGTGCCTGGAGACTTCCATTGAGCCTCCCCTCCCCGTGGGAGCCTACACATCCTAGCTTCCTGGCCTTCTTCTCTACCCATGGGACCAGGCAATTCAGGGCCTGTTTCTGGGTCAGCGTTCCAATGCTTGGAGACTGCCAATGAGACTCCCTTCCCAGTGGAGACTATGCACCCCAGATTCCTGGTCTTCTTCTCCACTAATGAGACCAGGTAAACCAGGGCCTGCATCCAGGCCTGTGTTCCAGTGCCTGGGGACTACCACTGAGCTTCCCCTCCTTGGGGAACCTATGCACCCCAGCATCCTAGACTCCTTCTCCACCCATGAGACCAGGACTAGGACCAGGAAGAGGAGAACTACCAGAGTATTGGACTTGCTTGCACCCACCGAAAGGGAACTCTGGTCCTCTAACCACCAGGCCAGGAAGAGGCTCTTTCTGCACCCACTAGAAGAAGGGATGGGAAGGAGACACTACAAAAACATACTCAGTAACAGAAAACAAATATGACACCACCAGATTCTAGAGACTTTACACCAGCAAGACTCGAACATTCTAATGCAAATGAAGCAGAAGAGAATGAACTTAGAAACAACTTCATGAAAATGATAGAGGCCTTCAAAGAGGATATGGGAAAATCCCTTAAAGAAATGGAAGAAAAAGTAAACCAAAAATGCAAGAAATGGAAGAAAAAACAAACCAAAGCATGCAAGAAACTGAAGAAAAACCAAAAAAACTCTTAAAAAAGTAACAAATATAGGAAAAGACAAAGCAAAAACTGCAAGAAACAATTCAAACAGTGCAAGGGTTGAAAACTGAAATAGAGACAAAAAAACACAGATTGAAGGAAGGCTGGAAATAGAAAAGCTGGGCAAACAGTCAGGTGCTAAAGATGCAATCATGACTAAGAGAATACAAGAGATGGAAGAGAGAATCTCAGGTGTTGAAGATACAGTAGGAGAAATAGATTCATCGACCAAAGAAAATCTTAAGTCCAACAATTTCCTAACACAAAATATTCAGGAAATATGGGACACCATAAAAAGACCAAGCCTAAGAATAATAGGAATAGAAGAAGGTGAAGAAAACCATCTCAAAGGGGCAGAAAGCATAGTCAACAAAATCATAGAAGAAAGCTTTCCCAACCTAAAGAAAGACATGCCAATGAAAGTACAAGAAGCTTACAGAACACCAAATAGAGTGGACCAAAACAACAACAACAACAACAACAAAATCCCCTCACCACATAATAATCAAGACCAAAAACATACAGAATAAAGAAAGAATACTTAGAGCAGCTAAGGAAAAAGGTCAAGTAACATATAAAGGCAAACCTATCAGAATCACACCTGACTTCTCCGTGGAAACTCTGGCTTTGAAAGCCAGAAGGTCCTGGATAGATATTCTACCAACACTAA